GTCTCCCGGCTGGTTCCTTCTCCCGCCTGTACGTTGAGGAGGATCTTTCAGGGCTGGGAGCGGGTTCTTGCTGGGTTTGAGTAGGCTGAGTTTTGTAATGGGTAGTGGCTGGAGAATTTGGGTTCCTGTGGTAGTAAAAGCGTTTGTAACCATACACGGACTATGAGCGTTTATACTTCACTGATAATATAGAGAAACAATTTGGATTTAAAGCATTTTCTGCCCGAGCCCCTCGGAGCGCCTTACCCAGTGTTAGTTAAAATCAAAACTCACTGCTGTCACCCACGTGAGTTAGTCAAGTATCGCTGTCATCCGAAACCTGTGCGGGAAGAAGGGACCAGCATTTTGTGTTCTCCGGTATGTCCTAAACTGTGACTTGCAGAAGCAGACCTGTGGAGGTTATGAAGTTTGAGATGCTGGCAGCTCAGTTAGCACTGCGTGGGTGGAGGGTGCGGGGGCTCTGTTTACTAACTGAAAAGTTTGCCGTTGTAAGGGAATTGCTAACTGCCTTTCGCTGCTTCGAGCAGCTCGGTTGCTTCAGCGTGAGAAAGCAAGTGGGAGGCTTGCAGCTGGCAACTTGTTGACAGGTTGCTGTTGTCCGGCCGTGGAGGAACCGAACCTCTGTTAACTTGCACAGAGAAAGATGAGTGAAAGAAGGTTGTGCTCTGAAAAGTTGGAGAAACTGCCTGACCTTGTGCATAGCACAGACTGTAATCTTGTCTTCGTGCCTCTATGCTAAACCCAGGGGGGCACCTGAGGAAATGGTAGGCTACGACTTGCTCTAGCTGTCATGGCAGTTCTGGACTGGAACTAGAAGAAGTTGGCTCTTCTGACACCCCGTGGGGTTTGTGTTCTGACCTGTGTTCTGACCTCTAACACCTGAGTGTTAGAGTACTAAAGCAGTGAGCCTTGGCTGCTTGGCTTGTTGTCCAGGCTGTGTCGGAGTCCCGTGCTTCTCCAGGAAGCTGAATTAGTCTCACACTTTCAAATACAAATTTCAGCATTGGTGTCGAGGACTGTAGGACTCCAGTCATGGCCATGCCTTCACTGCCTCCTTTCATACAAAAAAGTCCTTCAGAAATGGCGCTTGCTCTCTTGACTTTTCATTTAGTGGAGGTGTGAACATAAATGAACAGGAATATGCGTGCAATGATTTTAATATTAGTAAGGAATAAGTTGCTGCCTGTGAGAGCTTCTTCTGTTGTTGTTGCAAATGTTGCTGAATCCCATTGAGAGGAAACAGAAACCTGGTGCAGTGTCAGGAACAAAAGAAATTTTACCCGGTGTACAAAGCTTTGAACTGTACATGTAACATGAAGTCTTTTTTGTCTACATTTACCCTTGTAAGATCACTGCCACCTGTTTAGATTTTAAATGTGTTGAGTCTGTGGTGGGTTTTTTTGTTTGTTTAAGTTTCTTAAGTATAAACTTGATGTACCTTAAAGTTGTATAGTCTCTGTGTAGACCTCCGTGAGCTCTCACGGGAGCAAAATTATTTAATTGAAATGGAAGAGCAGCTTTGGTCTTGTATTTAGCACTGCAGGACGCAAAGTGCTTAAGCAGTTGTTACAGCACCCCTCTGTGGAAGCAAGTGGCATTCATAGACAAACAGGGGACGGAGAAGTTGCAGATTTCAGATTTTTCTATTAGAATTAGCTGCTTCAGTATCGATGTCTTTGAAATGTTGGACTTAGGGGTGCCAGGTGCTCCAAGTTCTCCCTGGCCGTAGCTTCAGTATTACTGATGTTTCCATGGAACAGTTCCACTGTTTCCCAGTCGGAGACCAAAGTGAATGACTCCATCTGAAAACTTCTGCCAAAATGGCTTATGTGGAGGCTGAGTTTCAGATCTACGACCAGCGCTAAGGTTGCTTCAATTTCAGTGACCTGCTTTGACAAGTCATGTTGTTTTTTTATTGTGTATTGCAATCCCACAGTTACTACTTAAATGAGTCTGGGCACATGGAAAGAAAGAATCAGGTAGCATCTTTATATTAATGCTTTGTCTTCTTTCGTTGTAGGAGAACCACGTCCATGACAACCTGGTATCTCTTAATTTGCTCCAGAAAGACTTTGTGCCTTTTCTGCTAAATTTTTTAAGGGAGCAGACCAGCCAGATCCTGACTAATGGACCCTCTACTCCTGCTAAAACTCCTAATTCCAAGGCCCACGGGAGCCAAAGGACAGGATCAGAAAGGAGGGCAGGCCACGCAACCAGCAGCCGAGTGCAGCTCTTTTCTCAAAGGACTTCGGTGACCACCTGCGCCACAGATACTAGCTTTTCTCCTGCTGCGGCGTCCAGCAGCTCCTCTTCCTTTTCTGGGTCAAACCTGTCTAGTCCTTGTGGTGGCTTCCCTAGCATGGTCTCCAGTAGCAGCCCGAGCTTTGGATACAGCCCTGTGCTTAACCACGGTGAGAAGCGGTCATCTCAGAAGGCCAGCTTGGGGAGCTTCCTTACAGCCACGCCTGAAGCCCTGCCAGCGAGACGAGGCCGAAGGAAAGGCAACAGCTCAGTCAGTGCCTCTGGCCGGCAGGTAGCTCGGGATCTGGGGCGTTCCCTTGCTGAAGAGGAAGATGGAAAGAATGACGGTGTATCGTGGAGCGGAGGGAGAAGGAAGCGGAGTGAAGTGCCTCTTGTTTCCGCCAGATCCCCACCCAGCCAGCTAAATCTTAACAACTTGGAAGAGTTTCCACCCATGGGTGCTGCCTCTAGCTGGACAAAGTAAGAGCAAGTCTGCCTCGCTGTCTCATTTGGATTGTGCTGCAGGTTACTGTTCCTTGACTAGCTCATCCTGTTCTGCGTGTCCAGATACAGAAGATGCTGTAATATACAATACCTGGGGGCTGGCTTCTGGGCTCCTTGGTCAGAACTGCTTTGTTACGGTTGCCATGTAGGGGAATATTGCTTCAACGGGTAGTCAGGTTTCCGCTCTGTGAACACAGAGCCTCTTTAGCCTCTCACTTGTGATGCTGCCTGCAGCTTACCGGTGCGCAGACCAGCTGATACGAAGCTGAGCACATCTTTGTCTTTGCATGTTCTAACAAGTCAGCATTATCTTGGCTCTTCACACTTCTCATTTAACACAATAGCAATTGCTAATGAAGAGCAGGCCTGGAAGGCTCTTCAGTTTTACTGATACTAGCAAAAAAGCTTTCAGATTGATGTTCTGTGGCTTCTGGTAACAGATGTTAGCGCGCAGCTTTGTTTATGCCGTGTGGTCACAGACAAAATAGCTAGCTGATGCCTGTATTCTCTTTGGTCTGTAGCAAGCCCTGGTCTCCCTGGTGACTTTGGCTTAGCTTCTGGGCAGCTGTTTGTGTTGTGGTTGCCTCAGTCCTTTTCTCTTTCTCTCTGAGATTTGACTCTTTAAAATCCTCATTACCAAATATAAGGCTTTCATGTCACCCTGTTTGCTCCATGTATCGGGCACTGGTCTCTGAAAGTGGGACTTCCTAGTTGGACATGCAAAATTCCAGCTGAAAATTAATAGGTCTGTGGGTCTGTACAGCAGATCTAGATGCAGGGTCTGGATGCTCTAGGTGGTGCTTTGGCCGAGGGAGAGAAGGTGTGTTTCTAGCACAGACAGTAAGTCTCTCTTCTTCAATTGCACTATGCCCAAGTAGGAAAAAGAGTGAGGAAAGAGGTCATGGAGTGTTTGGAAGCCAATGCTATAGCGATTTTGAGAACACCATAACAATTAATATGTAGCAACGAGCATTTCCTTGAGAAGTGTAATGCTTTATGTTCCTGTATCTCATTTCCACAATGTCTCTTACTGCATTACAGAGCCTCTTCCTGAAGGACAAGTCTAGGTAGTTTATGTAGGAAGGGTGGGATTCCCTAAACTTAAAGGGCAGGCCTATGGTAACTCGGGAGCCTGGACTCTTACTGATAGACAATGGCAGCTTGATTGGTTTTGTTTTTTTTTCTTTCTCGTGGTCATGTTAGAAACTGCCGGTGAATTAGTTTCTTACTAAAATGAGGCATATCCTGTCCTCTCAAATTAGAAATGTTTGGAAGAGTTGTGTGGCAGTCTGTTATCTGTTCTGTGGCTTGATGATTGGTAATTAATTTTGCAGCAAGGGTCAGCAGTCTGTAGCTCCGTGACTTTTTATTCAGTGACCAGAATAAAGTCAGCAACTATATGTACAATTTAGAAATTTAATATCCTGGCTCTGTATCCATTTTATTTTAGCATCAGGTTCTTCTGGAAGTGTTGCATGCATATCTGTCTTGAGACCTAATTTTTTTTGTTGTTTAGCTTGATTTCAGTGGAATCGCTTCTTACCTTTTCAGCAAAAGCAAACCATCAAGGCGAATCAACCCAACTCCTGTAAGTGCTGAGCGCCCCCTCTCAAAACCAAAGATGTGCTTCACTTCTACACCTGTCAGCCAGTGTCCAGCTGCTCGGTTTTCATCTGGGTCAAGCCTTGAGGCCTTTGCTACTGTCCAGGAAGGAAACCTTACATCTGTGATAAGCAACAGCCTTCAAGAGGAGAGGGAGATGCTGAAGAAAGAACGGTATAGTCTGAGCAGGGTGGTGATAGGCTTGTACTGATTCTTAATTCTCTTGTCTTAAGGTAGTACCAATATCAGAGTGGAAATGACTGGAAGAATATCCAAAACAGATATTGGTGACCTTACACTATAACTTGCCTAAACCCAAGTGTGACTCTTGTATCAGACGAGGATATTAATGCAGCTAGCTCATGTTTGTCATTTTAGAGGTGTGCTAACTCTGGAACAATGACCCTCACTTTATCTTCAGAAGTTTAGTCAGTCCTCACTGCTTTCGTAAGATTGCCTCTTCATGGGCTTGCACGTGTGGCTATCTCCTGTGCAGCTTTCCTTAGATTGCACAGGTGAAGTGGGTGGGTTTGAGCTGGTGTAACTGGGCTATGTTTGAAGATTGTGCCTGTGATGGAAGGCGTAGTCTGGTTTGAAGAAAATGAGTTAATGATGCAAATGTGGGGAAAGTGTTGATTTTGCAAGGTAGGCAGACTAACACGAGCTTGCAGTCAGAGAAAACAGGACATGGGTAGTGTGAGATTCTGTTTTAAAAGTTACTACCGCAGTTATCTAATGAAAATTGTGTGCCAGGAGATGAGGCGAATTCTAGCTTCTAATTTTGTCTCTGCTGTTCAGTTACTGTGTGACTTTCATCCTCTGTAAAATGATATCACTGTTAGTCTGTGAGGATTGATACTTCAGAAAAAAAGCAAAGTACAGTAGTAGAGAAACTATCATTTATAATTGCTGACAGAACTGTTGCTGTTCTTTGTAGATTTTGTTCTTGAGGAAACTCCTCAGGACATGTGGGTGGAATTCTTTTCCTGCTAAGCCATGTGATTCACTTCAGTGGGTCAAGAACCGGCTGAAACAGACCCAGCAGAGTCTCATGAGTTACTGTTTGTACCGGACCTGTAACAGAACTGCTCAGGATTCAAACCTGTCTCTGTGCACTTCCATGAAGCACCTATTCCAGTCTGAATTCTACCTGTAATGTCCCACTAATCTGTATAAAATAAAGTAGGTGAAATAGCAGTATGTGGGCTGGATCTTGCCCATGAGGTGATCTCATCTGACCCATCATGCTTGAAATGCGTAGTGCTTGGCGCTCAGAGCTGGGAGCTGCTGTTGTGTCCTCAGTAGTGGTGAAATGAGGTACAAAACTAATGCAGCCCCCAGCCAACTGGGTCACTTTGAGCAAGGGCAAAAGGTGAAATTCATGCTGAGGTAGATGATAGCACTGAGGCAGATGATAGCACTGATATTGAACTGTAGTAGAGTCTGATTACATTGTAGGAGTCTTGCCTTGGTGGGTTTACAAAGGGCTTAACAAGTGATTTTATTCAGTTCTGTCAGTCAGGTGCTTACGTTCATTGCAAGGGAGATGTTACTAAATAACCTTTCTACTCCCATTTTGGGACTAATTTGTTCTTCATTGCAGCAGTTCCACTAGAAATAGGCCAACAGAAAAAGTTCTTTGCTGCAGTTAAATACGTTTCTGTCTTCCCCACAGCCTTTAAAGTGACTTTTAAAGATTTTACTTTTGAGACAATGTGGTAAGAGGTGGTGTGATGTGCCAAGCGTGGATGTTCAATTGGGATCTTTAACAATCGTTTGATATTGCTGTTACTGGCTTTTTTCTTGCTTCTCATGTGTCTTACGTATGCCACTCTGCTGCTGCATTTTGGATGACCTCTGTAGGTATATTTTTTTACAATATCTATGTATTTAACTGAGTGATCATTGTTGATTTAGAATACAGCAATTAAAGTAGTTTGTTTCTTCTGTCGTTTGGCTTGCCAGTATGGGATTTCATCTGTTGTTGCATTGCCTTTCCACTTAGTGGTATTGGATCTTCTCAGGGCATCATTAACTTACAAATATATCTGAAGGTATGGATGTTAACCTTATTTTCAAAGATTTTGTGAAGTGTCTAGCTGTCAGAAATTGCATGTGCAAAAATTTTTTTTACGGCCTGGTCTCTAACAGATTCTGTGTCCCTAACGAATATCAGTTTAGATGAGAAGCAATAACATAGGTTAGTTAGATAATTTGGTCTAAGTGCCACACTGTTTTAACAGAGTTGGAATTTGAATGTGATTCTTTTGAGTCTTTTGATTGTTAGCCCTAAGATCCTTTCTCATTAAGGGAAAGATGAGTTAAATTACTATTATGCTAAAAGCAGCTTTAGACAGTGTGAATGACATGGTTAGTTATTGCAGCAATTCCTTCATGCTGGACTGCGAGAGAAAGACCTCTTCTGGCTGCATGTCTGCTGTGTGTCATCTTCAGTCACATAGTATGTTGCTGCTCTTGAATTTCAGATGCAAATTGCTGCACCAGGCGTCTTCTCCTGCAGGGATATCCCTTGATCCTGGTACTCCTACTAAGCCTAGCTACACTCGCAGTGCTAGCCT